ACTGCTTGAAAATATATTTTCACCATCTTTCATTACTGTACAGTGTCCATTTTCAAAATGTATACAAAGCTGATGCACTTAATGTGCTGCATTGTAATTCAAGGAAAAATTTTTTTTATCACTTACACTATTCTCACTTACTTCAGCAGGCAGGTCACATTGCAAAATGGCAGTCCCTTTTCATTCAGTTTTCATGGAATCATCATTAAGCCACTTGAATATATCTACTAGATCTTTATAAAGAAACCTTTTTGATGTGTAAAATGAATGGTACACCTTGAGTTAATGATCAAGTAATTTGATTTCTGTTTACAATTATGGGCCATACATGCCTTCTGTTTAACTTCCTTTTGTCTCTCTGTTAGGGTCAGTCTGTACACGTTTTCTGTGATTCCTTTGTTCTTTTGATTTAAAATTAGTACAGCTTCTATTGGTTGAGAAATCTCTTAGCAATCGGCAATCCTTTGCATGGGTCCTATTTTTCCAAAGGTCCGTCACCTGCAAGTTTGGCTGTGAAATGTGTCCCTTTCCCACTGAGCATGAGATATGATCCATTTTCATTTGATATCTCATAGGAGCCTTTTTGGTCTATGCACTCTTCCCTCAGACAACTCAAACACTCTTGGAAACAGCTATTTGCTGTACAAGGTAGATACAAAAGCATCAAAACATTTACACAGCAACACTGTGAGAATCCCATTTTCTATCTCTCAGTCAGTTCAAAGCCAGTAAAACTTAAATTGACAAACACTGTTAACAGAGCAGAAATGCACTTTTCACAATCTTGTTTGTTGTTAAGATGGAGCCATACAAGTCCCCCACCCATGCCTCTGATTTAAAGCTGGAAAATACCATAGGATTTCTGAAGTGCTTCTATCATTTCTTTGGTAGTTTTGCAACCTTTAATTCATATTATCTATTTATCTGAGTATCTTTGTGAAATTATTCTTTTTCCTATGGAATCATCATCTTCATAGTTAGCTTTGAGTTGTGCATCTGTCGGTCTTTGTAAACAACCATTAAAGCTCTTTGGTTATATTGCATGCTCTTCTCATTGAAATAAGACATTATTGACTCTGGAAGTTTTTTTAAAAGCCTTTCTGTGATCATTTTTCCTCTTTCTCTTTCTGAACAAGTTTGGTTAGGAATCTCAGAAGGAAGCACAACTATTTCTCTTCAGTTATGAGCTGATTTCAGTAGAATTTGTGGGTTGGGAGGATAAAAACATCAGAAACATGTTGAAGGAACAACAAAGTCTCCCAAACTACTTGTTAGCTATCTGTCTCTCTGGTCTCTGGGCTCATAACCTGTTGCAGAGTTTTGAATTTCTGATAAAATTCTCTTTTGTTTACATATTAGCAATCAGAGATCCACAGAGGAGAATAGCTACTAGTTCCCCAGAGTCCATCTATTAACTGGCACTTAAAGTTTCAATAACTTACTCAGATTCATTCATAGGAAAAATAATAAAACATCTTTCTTTACTTATAGTTGCTTAAAATTATAGACTTGTTTATATCAATTCCTTGACTGCACATATACTAGGAACTAACCAAAGAGATCAACAGCAACAAACAACAGTCAGCAACAAACATAAACATGGAACAGAAACTCAGCAGAGAAGTGGGGATCTCTTGATTTTAAAAGCAGAAAGGAACAATTGAATGGTGCTGGATAAATAGACCATCACCTGAGCTCTGAAAAGCCCCTTCAATCATCCAAACTACAAACAGCATGCAATGTTTTAAATGAAACTCTGACATAGAGTTCTGTCTCTGGATTTATGTACTAGAGATTTATTGTCGTTGCTGTCAATGTTCACCTGAGTTTTCGGCTGAGAATTATTTCCCTTATCCCTGACATGTTAAGTTGCCAGTTTTGGATTAAGAAGGACTTGTGATCAAATTGTCAGTTTGACAGTTCCAACACTGGAAGGCCAACATCTTCCTCATGGTTTTAGAGGAGGCAATTTCCACTAAAGATTCTTGCTGCATTTGCTTCAGTCATTGATCACAAATGTTTAATATAAATCATAATAGGAAATTATGTTGCATTTATTGAAAATAAATGACAGCAATCTATGTTATCCTTCCTGCAATAAAGAGAAACAATGTGTCTGTGTTTCCTTTTGCACTTTAAATATTGAAGATATCTGTTCTCTACTTGTTAGGGTGAAAACCTTCTCATGGCAGCTTCTAGCATATCAATAGAGAATATACTCATAAATTTCAAACCCTATAAAACCACAGCACTAAATTTAATAATGAATAAAAACCAGCAATAACCATAAAAACATCTAGCCCAGTAAACAACACTAAAATCCTATAAATAATTACAGCTAAACTACATCATATATCCAGCAATACAATAAAACCTTTTAGGGAGGAAAAAGGGGGAAACAGAGCAGCTCTTACAGTTTTCTTGGACTACAGTGAAGGGATCAAGCATGCTCCAATTGACATGGCATTGCACATACATGGGGCTACAGACAAAAGCATCATTTCCACAGTGATCAACCAGATATCATCATGACAGTTAAAGTACTAAATTATCCTGCTAAAGAATGCTTCTGACCAGTTACAACTTGGCCAGCTACTGTCTAAAAGAACTCCCAAAATACAGATTTCGTCCTTCAGGAAGAGCACAAGCGCATCTAAGATCAGTTATGGACATTCATCCAGAGTATTCAATTTTTCTATACACAATACTTCTGTCTGGTCTGGATTAAGCCTCAGCTTGTTCACTATCAGCCATACCAAACCAGCTCCAGATACAAGTACATCAAATACAAGAGATGCGGTGTTCCTGTTATGGTGGTTGTGTTTAGTTGTTAAGTCATGTCTGACTCATCATGTTCCCATGGACCAAAGCACACCAGGCCCTCCTGTCTTCCATTGCCTCCCGGAGTTTGGTCAAATTCATGTTGGTCGCTTCGATGACACTCCAACCATACCTGAGATGAAAAACTCATTAGAGAGCTGCATTTATGTTACTGTATTATAATGAGAGAAGACTCCCTGGAAAATACCCTGCAAGATGAAAAACTCATTAGAGAGTTGCATTTATGTTACTGTATCATAATGAGAGAAGACTCTCTGGAAAAGACCCTGATGTTGAGAAAGTGTGAAGGCAAGAGGAGAAGGGGATGCCAGAGGACGAGATGGATGGACAGTGTCATTGAAGCTACCAACATGAATTTGACCAAACTCCAGGTGAGTGGCAGTGGAAGACAGGAAGGCCTGGTGTGCTCTGTTCCATGGGGTCATGACGAGTCAGACATGAGTTAATGACTAAACAACAACAACATCATAATGCAACAATCTAAGATGTGTCATGTTGCTTATTCCTTTTCATGGAACTACTCTGCACCTTCAGTCTGATCTAATGGAACATCTGCTGTCTTATACCTTTCTCCCCTTCCACAGTATGACAATACAGATTTTATAATCATCCACATGTTTGCTCAAAAAACATGCATTTGGGTGAACATTCAGAGCAGCCCATTTATAATACAAAAAGGACAGAGATAAAGGAAGAGATTTTATTGCTTCATATTATAAAATCAGCTTAGTTACCATTTGCCCATCAGTCATTATTTTCCATTTGTCATTTATTTATTTTAATTTATTTGTCTTATTTATCAGCTGCTTTTCTCCCAATAAGGGACTTAGGGCAACTGATTCTGTATGCATTGTAAAAGCTTGATCGAATATAAAGGCTAGATCAAATTGATTCTGTATACATGGTAAAGGCTAGATCAAATGAAATAAAACAGTGGCAAGAACCTCACTGGATATCTATTTGTGTGTAGGAACAATTGTGGAAGTTCCACAACAAAATTAAGGAGGTATCAGCTGAATGTGGGTTGTGTGCCTGGTCATGTGATATGAGCCCATCACCTTGTCGATTGGCTACCAAAAGTGGTGGAAACCTAGCTTCTTTCTGTGTAACAGAGATGAGAAGCTGTTGGCCTGTCAATCCATTCTAAAATCTGAGAATTTCCAATCTAGTCCCGAAACTCAATTCTGATCCTGGAGCTCCCCTCCCTTTTATGAACAACAGAATCAGTGAGAAGGGATGAAAAAGAGTAGAACTTGCAATGACTTCATTTGTCAATGCTATGTCATGTCAGATCGCCTAGATGTTGTCTTAGAAGGCCTATAAAGCCTTTTTGAGGTCTATAAATGAATGTATATGTAAATATAAAGAAAATCTTAAATTGAGTGGTTATAAGGTATAATTCCTTCTGCTGTATTTGAAGTATTTCAAGTTGCTAATTCTACCATATTCAAACTTCTAAAAATTGAAATAGCTGTTTTTAAATCACAAAAAAACCCCACTTTGAATGCCACTTAATGGCAAGCTATTCAAATTCTGTATTATGTCTGTACAAAAACTACTGTCAGATTCCGTCTGCTTTCTTTTGCTCCCCAGAACAATTCATTTAAAATTCTTTCCCACCAATTTCAGTTTTAAGACACTATTAAAAATTGTTAAAGCCTTGGGAGTTTTCCAGTTGATTGGAACGGAGCCAACATTTTATACATTTTAGAGACATAATGAGTGTGATTTAAATTCCCCACACAGTTATAATTTTGCATCTTGAAAAAGTTGCTTCCTTTATAGCCAGTACGGCTATTTAATGTGTGCACTAGTTTCTCTGAGTTTTCAACATGTTTTGCAGACCTGTTCCATTCCTGAGAATAAGTTATCAGCCACAGCTAAACTAATTACTGAACAGTACTTTCTCTGTCATATCATAATGTCATCCAAGCTACTATTTTGAAATTAATATATTGGTTCCCCGGCTCTCTGCAGGACATTCTTCTTATTATATAAGTAGCATGTTTCCTTCCCCCAAAAACTGACATTATTTCTTTTACAGTTAACTACATTTGGAGCCATAAGTAATTAAGTTCTGTATAAGTTACCAAATTTTATCTCGTCCAGCTGATATTATTGGATGAATAACTGTATTATCTCCTCATGGAAACATTTAGGTTGTTCTCCAGTCTCAGCATAATTACTGAATTAACTCACCCAGCCAACATGAGATTCATGCAGTTCAGGGCCAAAGACTGCTATTCTCTCGCTCTGTCAAAATTGGAGAAGGTAAGCAAATGTCTTCTACAATTAAGTTATAATTAATATACATTGTGTAGTACTTTTCATATAAAGTTGAAACAAATGGTTATATAAAGAAGCAAACTTGTTACCATCAGAGCAATCAAATTAAATGTGAAATAATGAATATTAATATAAGAGTAAAATTAAAAAGCAATAAAATGTCATCATTTGCAAATCTTTGACATTTACCAAATGCCTAGTTTCTACAATAAAATCCAAACGCAGTAATGGGTGATACCTTTATAGATGGCTAATAACTCATCATACAATAATTGAACTTTTTGTGGATTAAAACAGCACGTCATCAGGTTTGTACCAGTGTGAAGGACTTAAAGCCTAAGCTGTTACCATAAAAAAGCAACCAAACTCTTGACTTCCCCCTAAGAGACAAGCCTGGCAAAACCCATCTTGGCAAGAACTACTGGACTGAACATCTAAGAGCAAATGTCATGGCAAACCCCATCTTGCCATTTATGTTTTGACTTCAAGATCTGGACATTATGTTCTTCATGCTGATTCAAACCTGATGAAGTGATGTTTTATCCACAAAAGATCGTTTATTGTATGATGATTTATTAGTGGTCTATGAAGGTATGGCCTATTTTTGCATCTGAATTTTTAGACCACATGGCTATCTTTTACTTCAATGGAATTTTCTACAATAAGTAAATTTTCAAGGTGAAATTCAACTTCAAACTATCCATGTGCTTTAAAATTTAAATTTTGAATGCTTCTCTTTTTTGGCGTCTCTTGGGTTTTTTAGAGTTTCATAGGCTATAATTCTGAAGCTTTCTTAAGCTGTCAGTGGTTTAATATTAATTGACATCATATCCTCTCTGTCACATAATGTTAGATTTAAAAAAACCATCTGGGAGGCATTAAATACTAGTATTACATTAGCGATTTTCAAAGTATTTTCCAAAAACCCTTGTGTTCTCCTCAGAGGAAGGACCAGCAATCCTTGAATGACACTTTATATATCAGAATTGATCTTCCTCTAAGATATGCATTCAGTGAAATTATGTTTTTTAGAAGGCGCTCTCAGTTCAAAAGTGATAATGGCCTACTGAGTGTACACTTTACAAAGTGCTCAGAACTCTGTTGTTGACAGTTTGTTGTTGAACCAGATTGACTTGTGAGTCTAAATTAGAAGTTTGATTTGTAAAGTTGAGCTTCAAAGGCAGGTTACACTTGTTATTGTTGTGGTTTTAAATGGACGGAAGGTTCTGCCAATGCATTTGTTATGCCTTAAAGACCGGACTATTTT